CACAGTGGTTCCAAGATTAACCATGGGAGAATTCTTGTTTGAGAAGGTCAGTTCTATAAAGAAGGACCTGTTTGACAAACATGGCCTTGCTGAGAGGTCAGATAGGATGTGAGGCTTTGTGAACATTTGCAGGTTGTTTCACATCACGTGGTAGCAAATTAACCAAAGAGGGACAGCTGTACCAAAAGCAGCCTTTCACACACTTTAGCCCCTTCAGGTGAAACATTTTGCTTTAGAAACACAATTTCTTCTCAGCTCCATTTAACGTGAAGCTTTCTGATAATCTCTAAGGATGAGCTGCTTTTGTGTTGCTGCCTCAGCCTTGTCTGGTCCTGCTGCCACCTGCTTGTCCCCACTGTGGCCTGGGCCAAGGGATGTGATGGCTCTGGAGGGGAGACAAAAGCCAGCTGGTGACTGATCCTTGTGGACTCCTGCTCCATGTGACCTGTGGTCCCATGCATCTTGCAGATCTCTCTCTAGCCCTAGAGGAGCAGTAGGACCAGTTGGGCTGGAGAGAACATCCTGGGGTCTTTTGGCAGCATCCTGTAGCTCACTGGTGTGAGCTGTAATGCGAAGCTGCTGCTGTGCCAGGAGTCAGAGCACAGCCTGCCCTGATGCTGGAGCTGCAAAGAGGCCTCCTGTGAGGATCTCTACCCTTGTTAGAAAAGCCTACTGCTTTTTGGAAAGTTTGTCCTCTGTATTGCTCCAGATTGGTCCAGGTGGATATGAAAAAATGTACTTCAAAACGTTTAATTTTAACCTCAAGACACTTTCAAGCCTGCATTTTGTGTTATACCACCTTTTGAACAAGAAAACTGGGGGGTTTGGCTCTAGAAAATCCAAAAGTAACACCATGATTTCCTAGCTCCTCCTGGATCATCTCTTCAGGCAATGAAACACAAGACCATGGGAACACACCTGCAATAGAGATCATAGGTGATGCACATGCCAGATGGATTGCTTTTCTCTTGATATGGTCAGACAGTTTTATCTGTCTGCTTTTACACTGTCAATGATCACACTTTTAAACCATTTTAATAAGCCTCAGACTTACCTGTGGACAGCTAGCAGGGAGTGGACAACAGATGAGCTGGTTTGGCCACAGACTTTGAGGTACATGTACTATGCAAAAGCTGAAAGAGGAGTTCTTTATAGTGAAGACTCTTTTATGCAGTGCTCATCTAGGTTTCATTCTTGATCTGCCAGAAGTTCTGTCCAGGAACTTGAGCAAGATCTCTGTGAAAATGAGGTAACTGAGGAGAACATTGCTTCCCTTGTTTTTAGCCATTGTGGCTGTCTGTATGAATTGTATATTTTTGTGGGCAGAGTGGAATGTTCCATTTTGTTACAGTTATTTTTTGCTAATTACTCAGACCTAACAAAGAAGGCACTTGGAAAGTGTGAGACAGAAAATGAAGAGGAAGAAGAAGAGCACGACTATGAATATGTGGATGAAAATGTAATTGAAAACATAAGAAAAGAATTTCAAGACACCACGGTTAGAAATAAGGATACACTCTCTGAAGGAAGAAGGTGAGTGTGACCTATGATCCCTTATGGATGCAAATAAGTGCAGGCAGAGTGATTTTTCAGACTAGTTGGTAACCTTCATTCCCCAAAACAAGGGAGGGTTTTCCCTGGAAGCTGCCACTGTTGCCCTGAGTGTTCTGTGGATAAGGCAGGAAGGGCACTGTTGAACTGCCACTTGTGATCCCCTGTCACTCCTAGCGATGACACCTTTTTAAAGGGCTACCTGTGGTTGTTCTGCCGGTAGAAGTGCACACGCAAGGCCAGGTTTACAGGTGGAGAAAAAACCTTAACTAGACTGACACTTATCCTTACAAAACCACACAGAAACCCAGATAAAAGCTTTGTATCTGAAAGCCTGACTTCTTTTTTCCTGATTTGTGCCAGTTTGCTAGGACTCTAAATGCAATCCTTTTCCTGCTTTCAGAATTGGACACTTTATTGTGCATGACTAAGGTTTGTCTCTTAAAAAGCTTTCAGGCATTACCTGTGTTTTCACTAAATCCTTGAGGTTCTGCTCTGGCAGTCTGCAGAAGACTTAAAGTGCTAGTGAAGAGAGCCTTTGCTTCTAAAAGCTCTATGCATCATTTTCAGCTAAGCACAGATTAGACATTTTTCCTGAATCTGAGTGAAACCGTGTAGTTCCAGCTCTTTTCACTCACAGTTGAACCTTCCATGAACTTTACTTGGTTCAGCTGAATTGCTTCTCTTGTTAGGAAAACCCCCTGAAAACCCAGAAAAACTCGAAATGTCGTGTTCTGGAGACTTAAAAAAATACTTAATTAGGAAGTGGTATTTTATTTTAAAATGTGTTTTCTGTTTATTTTAGAATGGCATGCAACATTTCTATTCTGTTTGACTCAAGCCATGCACTGGATCTGAAATAAACTCACTTTTTTTCTGAAATGCCCAGACTCCCCTGAAATGTGACATCTAAGGCAGTGTGTGGTATCTGTATCTTTCCCTGCTCACAACCATAGAAACTCCAAAGTTACAGGAAAGACTAAAAAAAATGTACAAAGTAAAGGTCCTCACATAATGCATTCATTCCTCAGTCCACAGGCCATTGAAGATGGGCACTTGTTCTACAGTGTAAAGAAACAGAGAGAATAAAACTCTGTTTTGACTCAAACAGTATTTTTTACTATAGGCATTAAGGGAAAAACAGTTTCAAGAAGCAATGTCAACCTAGAAGATCAGCCTCTAATTATACCACTTTACCCACCTGCCATTTAAACTTCCTGTCAATAGAGGCAAGGTTTCACTTCATTAGCTGTCTTCTTTGAGGTATCTAACAAAGCATGAAAGAAAGGGCCTTGGTCACTTCCAGGAAGTTCACTATCCATCTTGGATTATGAAGCATTCCATAGTTCTGCTTCAAGAATTCATTAATCAACCATTGTCCTTCCCTTCCTCAGGACATTTATGCTATTTATTAATATTCCCTTTTAATTTGGTATATATTATATATATAAATGAAATCTATTGACCCAAGTTAGAAGGAGGAAAGCTTTAATGAAATACAGAAGCAAACTTCAGCAGTGAGTTGTGCTTTGAGAAAATCAGTGTTTCCTATTTGCAGTGATTCATCAGTGCACTCACAAAAACCCTTGTGCAATCAGGGCCAAAGCATGCCAGGATGATACTAGTCAGAACTACTCCTCCCCCTAAGCAGAAAGGAGAAAGAAAGAACAGAGATTTGCCTCAGGTTATTGCTATGTTAATTTGGATAGAATAAAAGTGCCTAGAGGGTCAATGACATTAACATGACCTCATCGCTCCAGGACAATAAGCAATTAAACAAGGGACTTGACTACAGATGTCTGAGCCTGCTATAGCAATAACCACCATTAACGTATTTTAACCTTTCATTAAAGATTCAAGAGAAAGTAGGAAAAAAATCTGAAAGCATTTAAAATGTGTGGCTCGCTCTTTAACAACACAAGTTTCTTTCCTCTACTGCCATGAATTGTTTTTTCAGAGATTTTTTTAAATGAGGAAAGCACTCACTTCACCAATCTTTTAGAAGGCATTAAAGATGTCAACGGTGTTTTTTCTTGGATGTGAGAAAAATGAGGAGAGAGGATGTTCATTGCAATGAACTGGAATAGCTCTGATACTGCTATAATGTCTCATCCCATGTCCCTGTAAACAAAATAAGATGGAGGAGTGGAGGAGCAGCAGCAACAAGAAAAACCGGCAGCAAAACCAGAGAAGACAGCTTCAGTCTCCAGTGTTAGCTGCTTGTAACCTCATGGCTGGAAAAAGATAGAAACAACATGATCCAGCCACCTGGAGAGCTGAAAATGAGTACTGGTGTCAGGGTGTTTCAGGATGTTGATTTCTGCACTTGAATTTCATACAAGTGCTGGAAAAGGAATGGTCTCAGCTGACTAAACCTGGATGTCTATTAAATAGGAGCCAAAACCCAAAAAGTAGAACAAAGAGAGATATGTAATCGGGAATGAAAAACCTACACAGCTGTTTTCTCTTGTCATGAGCTCAACAGTTGAGGCAGTTTTGTTTGAAAAAAGTGCTTTTGTGTGTGAGAAACATTTGTCATGCCAATTAACAGGCCCACACAGATCCTTCAACCAAGCACAGTTTATTTACATTCTTGCAAGAATGGGTGACCTAAACAAGTAGGCACACCCATAGTAAGGTGAATAGCGGTTTATATTCCCTATTCCCGATGCAAATTTCCCTCCCCTCTTTCCCCACTGGCTGGGTACTCCAGGGTTCACAGCCCATCCGACGCCTCAAATTATCCTATAAGTTTCCCGCCCCTGTTTACACATTCCATTCTAGCAGTTTACTTTTTACCTTTTAAGGTAAAATTTTGACCTTTCTTGCCCCCTGGGCTGTCTTCCCGATTAACAAATCTACTGGTGTCATCCTGCCCTGAGAGCAAGATAGAAGTGGCTTTGTTCTGTCTTATCTTGGGCCATAAATCCTTCTCCATGTTTAGATCCCCGGGTGGAACCCAATTCACTCCCTCAGTTTCTTGGGCCATAAACCACTTCTGGTGTCCTTAGAATATACATATATCTCACTTGTCTCAAACAAACTATATATTTCTAACATTAGGATATAAACCAAACCTGACACTATGTTTCTAACACTAGAATGCAAAAACAACACTACATTTCATTTCTAACATTTCTAACATTTTCATTTTGTACTGATTTTTTAAAAAGTAATTGTATGAAATAGGCTGAGATGAACTTTTTTTTTTTTTTTTTTTTTTTTAACCTTGGTTGTGCTGAGATGCAGGTTCCCGCATAACAGGAGGTTAAAGGCAGTGCCACAAGTGAAACCCAACTTTTCTGACCCCACCACAACTTCATAATTCTTTTGTGCTGTTTTTCTAAGATAGTTCTCTGGAGCTTTCGTACTACTGATCCTCTAAGCTGCCTGTTTCTTTCTCAGCTCCTCTTACCTGTTGATGAAGGCTGAGGCAAACTTTGCAGCCTTGGGGTATTGAAGTGAGGAACCCAAATCTGTGACTGGAGCCCTACCTTTTCAGCACTTTTGAAAGACTCTCTCCTCTAAAATAGTTTTCAATGCAGATTTGTGGTTATCACCTACTTTGTTAAATTTTCATTGTTCAGTGATTTTTCTACTGCCTGGTGTTTTCAGTTTTCCCTAATGCGCAGTCCCAGGGAGCAATCAAGGGAGATTACAAAGGAAGAAAGAGAGGGAGAAAATAAATAATGTGCTGCTCTGAGAGCTGTAACTCAGTTCTTAGCTTTGACATGGGCAGGACTTCAAGCAGCCTATGTCAAAGCAGTGGCTGGTTGAGAGACTCTGAGGGTCTCTGAAGACTACCAGACTACCATTATTACCCAGATGTTCTTCCTACATGTGCAGGTCTTGCCATTCCCCTAGAGAGCAGATTAAAAATGTGTTTTTGTAGTGTGGCAAAGCTGGGAAGAAAGCCCACTGGTGAAGTCTTAGCACATTTGCATGTTTCCATTATCTATTAATTAAGTTATTAATTAACTTCCCTCCAGGCCTGCATCTCTGTTGCCCCAGCCCCAGGGCACACCTGTTTGGAGCCCCTCACCAAGAGGAGAGTATCTCTTCTCTCATGTCTGCCAGACCAGTAATGTGACACAGGCATCATGGGCATAGTCACACTGGAGAAACAGAGAATGCATTTTGCTGGAGTCAAAGCTTACGCTGACTAAAAGAGCTCCTTTGCCTCATGTGGGTCCAACATTTCCCTAAACTGCACAAACTATACTAGTGAAACGAAAAAGTACAGGTGTGAGTTTCACACACTTTGGCAAAGTTGCTGGCACAGCTGTGGTGGAGTCATCTTAGCTTTATTTTTACTGCAGTCTTAGGATTGCTGGTATAATTGTCCTGCAAAAACCATTTTACAGCACAGATGAACCTTAACTTGCAGCCTTTAATTTGACTCAAGAGCTCATTCACCTGCACTCTCTGTGTAATTTTTAAATCCAAATGTAAATGTTTCCTGTTTCACCCTGTCATTTTGTTTTGTTTATTTTCAGGGACATCTGAAGCAAAATAATTCTGAAATTAACTGGAAACAAATAGGAAGCTGTGTCCTTCACATATTAAGATCTACCACAACTGTAAGAAAACGCTGCTCATTAAAGTGTCCTTCTTGTCTTCTGAAGAGCATCTGAGACTGTAATTTAACTATAATAATCCCTTGAGAAACTAAACTGCTTACTTGACCCAAATAAGAAGCCAAACCAGATAATGTCTCATGTCCCTTTGAAGGGACAAAGTTCTCTGTCCATATTTATTAATGAATTCGGATAATGATACCAAGTTCAATCCTTCATTCTTATCGCATCTGAAATACCAGTTGGTTTTCTGAAACACTGTAAGGCATATGCAAAAGGAACATCCTTTACTGAAATTAAACTGCTGTATGGTTGTTTCCTTTGTGGAAGGAAGGCTAGAGAAGAGAATGAAGGGTTATCTAAGGTATATATCAATTCCTTTAGCCAGTCACATAGGCTGCAGGTTAAG